AATTAGTAACAAACTCAACCCATGAAATCAAACAATTAATATGTGGAAACATTTAGATTTTTGAAATAGCATTGATGGGATTCATACCAACCAAACCCACTTTTATCTTCTCCAAACCACATGCACGAACAGGCCCGAAAAGATCAGATTTTCATATTCAAACGCACCACTTCAAGCCTTTGTATCTTTTTCATGATAACTCTATTTCTCCTCATTTTTGCTTCATTGGATTCATTTCACGACCTAATTTTCGTATCACTCCTCACATGATTCGTTCTGTTCTTTTTGCATTCTGTGGGAGCTTTGAAAGATGACCAAAAAAAAGATTTTTTTTCCCATTTTTGACATTTCTTTGGCCCATCTTTCGGACTCCATAATTTTCTTGATTCTTAACAAATTTATCCTGTTCTTTCACCAATCTCTTCACCTTGCTTTATATTTCATCCTACGCCACCTCGTTTTCTCACTTCTTCCTAAAGTGGGTGGTTTCGGCATGCCAAAAGTTGTGTGAAAACTAACTTCACACATTCCAAAGAAACATCTCTAAATCTATTTTTTTCTTTTTCATCATCCACCATCTTTTGCTACTTCATAGCACTTTGTAAAGGGTGGTTCTTGGTTTTGACGGAGCTGGGCGATGGTGGTCGTGATAGTCCAACGGTGATGTGGAGCTCACGGTGATGGTGATCGTGGACCTTGATGGTAGTAGTGATGGAACTTGGTTGTGAAAATGGATGAATGAGGTGGGTTTGGTGTTGAAAGGTGATGGTGATGGTGATGGTGATGGTGGTGGTCACAGTGAGAGAGAAGATATATATATATATATATATATAGAGGGGGAGAGAGAGAGATACAACATTATACAAATGAAATAACTGAGTGTAAAATATATAGAGGCATTTATGACTTTTTATTACTTCTTTACGTCCTTCCAAAATTACGTTTAGGATTTAAGTGTTACAAATGAAACTATAGGGGGGTTTCGTATTTTTTGGACAAACCACAGGAAGTTAAAGTGTAATTTACCCTATATTAATACATTTATCATTAAAGCAAAACACTTTTTAATTTTTTTCTACACACTTTTCACATCAATTAAACAATGTTCCCAAAAAAAACAAAAAAAAAAGAAAACAACACATGAAGCTTTTTATTAAATATAGTATGCTAATCATTAAAATCAAAACGCTAACTTTTTCATCTACTTTCGTGATACTTTTCATATTAGTTCCGAACTAAATAACAGTGTTACAAAAGAATTTGCTAAAATCTATTATATTCACTCCCCAAAAAAAGATGCGTACTACATACATTTCTATTTTTAGCCATTGGACCTATAAAATAAAAAAATAAATAGAGTTAGTCACATGGGATCCTAACTAGCACCAATTTTGGGCATAGCTGAATACCACTTTAGTCATAATCAAAATATCATAACAAGTTATAATTAATATAAATTTGAAATATAATCAGATATCATAATAAGACATAAACAATTTTAATTTAAAATTTACTAGCCTCACCGCTACAAGAACCTATAACCAAATACCACAATGATCCATAATTAACACTAATTCGAAACATAACTTAGATATGGTATGCTCTATGTACATTGTAGCATAGCCCGTACATTAATGCTTGATGCTGTAGTAGTGGATGGTGCTGTGGGTGATGTTTCAAGGAAGGAGGAGCATTGGGTGCTGATGCTGTAGGTTGATGCTGCTGCTGGTCTTTGTTTTTTTGTTTGGGATTATTGCTGTTTGGCTTTAGTTGCACTGCTGGAAATTGAAGTTTTAGAGGCGTTTAAAAAACGCCACTATAGGTCTTAAAAATGCCGTTAAATCCTTTTGTGACGTTTAGCATCAAACGCCGAAGATGCGGCCGTCGCTATAACTCTGTGGCGCTTTAGAAACGTCACTGTATGACTATAGCCGGCGTTTTTAAAAACGCCGCTAAAGGTTCTACTCATGGTCACGTGACGTCACCATGTTATTTAACGACGTTTTTAAAACGCCGTCGTATCTCCTTTTCCCAAAAAAATCCAACCGTTAGAATGCTATTTAGCGACGTCTTAGAAACGCCGTAATAGCCCTCTTTTTTTTTTCTTTCTAATTTGTGCTAATTTTATGTTAAATGCCTGTAATTTCAGCAGCAGACAAACTTTTAAATATAGCAATACAAAAAATTATTAAAAAATGTACAGCCATGGTACATAATTACTAAATATTGAAGCCAAAAAAAATCATCATCCCATCAAAGAACCAATTAAGGAAAACAAAGAATTATAAAGGAAAAATCACCATCCAAAATAAATAAAATATCTCAGGTGCCAGTATGAGGAGTCACAGAAGTAGGTATATGAAGGAAAAGAGAAATATAGCATGTAATGTTAAACATGATAATTCCATTTCCTGGGGAGAGATTGGGAAGGAAACTGTGAGTAAATGTGGCCTCCTAGAAAATAAAAATGAAAAGGGGTTGAAAATTACATTCAGTGGAGTAGTCAAGCCTCTTAAAATATGCATACGTGAACAACTGGTTAAGGTTTGGCAACTAAAAGGAATTAGTAAAAAATCATATTAATAGACAAACGCCAACTTTAGGCACAAATCATCAACCCCATGGAAAGGATATATAACAATCTCCTTTTCATAGGTATACTTAAATGGCTTGTATCTTGGAATTGGTTATAGAAGGTGCATCAAGTCAACCTACAACAGAAAAACATAATCTTAGCTCAACAAATAAACAAAAGTTAAAGAAAAAGAAACCTTAGATGAGATATTACCTAGCAATATCACCTCGTAATATGTTTAAAAGAACTGTTTCAGCAATATCATCTACATTATGCCCAGTAGCTAGCTTGTCTACTTTTAGCAATGAGGCACCACAATCAAGGGCGTTGCAGAGAAAGCATTCCATCATTACAATCAAACTCAATTCATTTCATCATTTCTGCATCCAGAAACAAGGGCAGGAAAAAAGAGAAATTAAGTTCATCAATTTGAAAATGCATAACTGCTCTACCTGGCGACGGAAAACACCACAAAATGTGCAATTGTTCTTTAATCGAATAATCTTCACTATTTCGTCCATTGTCCATCCGTACAGTTCCTTGTAAGACATCACTTTTAGTGGTAGTCCATACTGAAAAAAGGAAAAGGAAAAAAAAGGACACACATAAGCACACAGGACTCGTTGATTAAAAAGACAAAACAATAAAACCCATTTTATTAGCTAAAATAGAAGTTCTTAGAACAGCAAGAACATAAATTAATGAGTAAGCAACAACAGTAAAGAAAAGATTGCAGGACAAAAAGAAAAATTAAAATGTTGTGCTGCAAGAAAATAAATAAATGAACCAATAGCAGAATAAGCAAAAACGACCCAACTTGTGCTAAACTAAAAAATCAGGAGACTTGCTCACCTGGACTTCATTTCTTTTAACAATTTCAAGTGAATCATCCCTATACCCTGCGATGCCTTCATCAACTGACAAGAGAAATAGATTTACGCCATAATTATGCCGACGATTCAGCTTTGACAACACATAAGCAAGCACTATGGAATCTGCACAAAGGGGAGGAACAATATGAAATGCGAGGGGGAAACAATCGTGTTCATAGATTTTGCCTGTAATCAGTCAGACAGAGATGTGACTAAGAATACAACAGCATAACCTAACACATCCACACACCAAAAAAAAGTAGCAGATAACCTCTACTCCTGCAGTGAGAACCCACAGGAAGGTACCTCTTTCCACAAACTCTCTCTCCAAAAATCACACATCAGAAAGATGGCAACATAGCATTTAAATTTAATCTCTCATGCATGAAATGGGTAAGGAAATAAATGAAACTACACTTGCTTCTCTCTGTTTTTTATTCAATTACATCGACATCGAAACTGTAGTGCTTTGTCTGAACTAGAAACATCTGAGAGCATAAACCAAAGGAAAAAATCAACCTGACATTCTACAGAAAAAATTAATAAAAAACACTGCATACTTGCCATCAACTCCAAGGAAAATTAATAAAAAACACTGCATACTTGCCATTAATTAGAAAAAATTAATCAACCTGACATTTACTTCCTTTGGTTTTTTCTGGAAACTTGACATACTGTCATACTTGCCATCAACTCCAAGGAGTTCATTTTCTCCCTGCTAAAGATAACCTGAATAACCCAATTTTTGTCAACTGTTGAGAGACTAAATTATAAGGAAAAAAGTTAATCTCAAAAAGAAAAAGAAAAAAAAATACTAAAGATTGCTATCAATTCATCACATTATGCACGATAACTTCAAAAACAAGTGGCCAAAAAAGTTACCCAGAATGCATTGGATGCCTTGTCAAGTATGCAGTACTGATAGCTTCTCTATCATTTTCAGAGACCTGCATTGCTTATCAAAACAAAAAAATATATGTACTTCAAACATTTCTACACAAGACTACAAACTGGCTTTTTTTTTTTTTTCATTAAATTTCTACACGGACTAGTTTTTACAGCAGCAATTCAATCAATCTGAAACTTATCATGCCTCATGACAGCTGCGAACATGTTGGGCAGAAGAGTAAGCAGAAAGCGTTGATCCAGTCACAGTCAACGAATGCTTCGCGAGCCCCACGCTTTTCTTTGTTGCCAACCACATAGTCTAAAAGAATCCAATCCAACCTGAGATGCACAAGGATTTAAGAAACAAAATGGTAACATCAGGAGCAAATTCATCATGAAAATTCACAGGGTTCGGCTTCTATAAACTTCAATACGAGCCTAGTAATTTTATGGGAGAATACATGGGTTGGTTGAGAAGGTCCAAAAAAGAAACTGGCTCCAGCTTTGGGTGCACAAAAAATAATATTAAATCTTTAACTGGTACAAAATGTACAGTCAAATCTCAAGAATAGTAGACATTCATCCCCAAGAACTCTACCAAGCTGAAGTCTGTTGGCTGATCTATCTAGATAGAGCCAAGTATGAGCCCAAACTGATAATGCCCCGATGTAAATTGCTGTCACATAGGCAAAGAAAAGAGCCAAGAAGCCCCCTGCCACAGCTAAAGACACGAGAAGAGAAATTATAATGGCATTGACAGCTGCTGCCAGAAAGAAAAGCATAAAGACTACCAGTCCTGTCAAGGCCAGAAGCCCAATAATAGTTCCAACCTGAAGCAATTTTAGAAAGTAATTCATAAGAAATATAGAAACAACAATTTATAAAAAAAAAAAAAAAAAAGTTCGTTTAAATTAGGCAAGAACCGTATGAAGATTAAAATCCAACAAAACCAGGAGTCTTTTAATTTACCCCAAGTAAAACTCTAAAACAAAAAACAAAATATTAACGAAGAAGCAGATGTATAGCCAGGCCAAATACCAGTATCTTGCATCAACAAATGCCATACTGCAAAAAGCAATCAAATACTACGGAAGACAAAATAATGATTACAACAATTTTCAACTACAAGTCAGAGGTACTATTGTCATTTTTTAAAACATTCAATGGAATCCTCTAATAGAGTCGTTTACATTAAGACAAAATAATAATTATGAAGGGATTTGTTTTGATTCTTATGATCCCATATCAATTAACAGAGAGAGAGAGAGAGAGAGAGAGAGAGAGAGAGAGAGAGAGTGGAGCTCACCGATATGAATCACTGAGATGAACTTCGATTTCAATTTCGAGAGAGAACTTCGAAATCGCTCTAATGAATCACCGACTTATTGACGGTAAACCTATTCAAATAAACAGTCAACGCAACTTATTGACAGTAAACCTGTTCAAATAACCCAAGATAAGATCTGACCACGTAGTGAATAAATAGCTTCTCAACCATGCAGAGTTCTCCATCTGGAAGCTGTTTGACAGAACATACCACAATAAATTACCATTAAACTAAACATGAACTTGAATTGATTTCTTCAATTAAAATGGGCTAAAAATATATTTGAAACTCACTGGAGTGAGCTTGTTAAAAAGTGACGCAATTAAAACGTCGTACACAGTCATCATCACAAGAGATAGTACAAGCAGAAACCCCCAAAGATAGATGGCCAAGGACTTCCTTTCTGCAACCCAAACAAATGAACATTTTTTTTATCACCAACCAGCAAAGTAAAACTGAAATGTCTTAATACAGTGAAAAAAACAGTACCTGTACTATTACAATAATTGCTGCGACAATAGGCGGTCCAATTATAGTTGCTAGGATGATTCCTTTAATCATGTCCCTAATGAATAACCATATTGTTTGCTGTTACTTCAGCAAAACAAGATCAAGAATGTAACAACTAAATTTTTAAGGTAGGAAATAACAATATATGAACATGATAATCAGTAATGAGAGAGTACAAACTTTGATGAAACCATGGAGGGCCTCAATGACAAATGTTGAATATAGAGAAAATGGCAAGTCAGTAATCTGCAAAGATTCCAAAAATAATGAATATCAACTAGTTTGAATACAATAGGAATATAGTTACTTCAATGCATCCACTTATGAGGATGCACATTAATTTAAAAAAAAAATCATGCCAAATATAATGTATCCATTCCATCAGGTGCAGCCAAACCAGGAAAATTAGCTAGCCTTGACCTATAATAAGTTTAAGCAGTTTGTTGGCAAGACACTGATCCAAATATAAGCAATCAACCAATTCAATAAAAACTCAGGAGGCTAGTCATAAAGAACTGCAGCACTACAAATTTAAAACATGGAAGAAAACAAAAAATGTACCATTAAACGGCTTAATAATAAATTTGAACAAGCAGAATGGAGGCTATTGCAAACTTTCAGAAGACCCATCTTACTTAATTCCCCAGTTTTGTGCCAATTCATGTTGCATTGCCCTTGTCGCGCATAAGGAACCATTGGCCATCTTCCCAAAATGCTTCTCAAACCTAGACATGCACCAAAAACTCACACTTCAGGTATGAAGACAAAGAAAGGCCTTCAAATCCAAAGGAAAGTTTACAAGTCAATTCAAGTGTACCAATGGTATATTGCCACAAAAACACTACTTTTTCCGAGAGACAATGCTAGCAAAGTATATCCAAAATTGTGCCAATCAATAATAAATGCAGAACGCCTCAGCCAGCTTGCCCACTTTACAGCCACTAAAGTTGGGACAGAAGGTGGATTCTACAGAAGCCGAAACAAGGTAGTTTAGACCAAAATATCAATCCAAGCATGCAAGGCACGACACTCCTATTCAAAACTGACTAGAATCATGGCCAAGCAAACATAGCCATGGATGATTACAAGTTAGGCCCATTTTGGGCCACCAATATTTTTATAGGTTGAAGCTGCTACTACTTTGTTCAGTATGTGACCCCTAGTAAAAGAAGAAAGACAGAAATTGGACACTAACAATATTCTTTCCCAAAACTTCAAAGCATTCAATAAAAAGAACCAATAAGATAATAATAATGCACAAAAGATAACATATAATACTTCCTCTAATGAAATTGTTACCAGATATTCTACCTAAATCATGCTTATTTCAATGAACTTTTTCAATGCTAACACTTTAGCGGTTATATAAGAAAAGTTCTAAAGATTTACAGTAATAAAAAGGTCATCAAAACACTGCCAAAACAATATAACTTAAAAAGTGTCAAACAATGTATTTTGACAATAATTCAGCCACATACATCTTTCAGAGCTCACCTGCACTATAAAAACATCAGGAGCAAGTATTTTGACACAAAGAAACCAAAGAAGCATAAGAAACTGAATCAATGGCTTGAGCAAAAGCATCAAGGAACGAAGTATCTTTGGTAAATTCCGAGGGATTGTTGGCCACTGTGTTTGTAGAACCAGATTTCAAAATAAAATAAAAATAAAAATACATGTAATGAGTTTTAGAGTTTTGAAAAAACACTCAATCAACAGGACATGCTTAAAACCAGTATCATTTTATGAATATGAATATATTGGTTCCCTAATAAAGCTGAGTAGGGGTCAGAGCCTATCATCCTATACTGGGGAACATTTTTTTCCAAAAGAGAAGTCAAGAAAATCATGACCACATGGCCACTGAGTTTTACTAATGAGAATCTGTAAATATATTAATTTATAAGCTTGGCAGCATTCTATCATTCATTATTCATAATCTTTTTATCTATTACTCATTGGAACAATTGATTTCCATATTTATTTGTATGTAGATAGTAAGTTCTGTTTACAATCGCATCTTTCACTCTTATTTCTTACTTAAAGCCCCTAATCTTGTCACTGGAATAAGTACAAAAGGTTCACAAACTTAACTCCTAAAAATTAGCTAGAGCCATTAAACTTTGCAACCCTAACAACAATGCCATTAAGAAAATTATAATATGTGCATAAATCAGAATTGGGACCAAAAATCAGATCAGCATAGGAAAAAAGCAGGCCAATATTGTTGATGCTAATTTAGGGTTTAAAACAGGGTAATAAAAAAATAGAGAGTGAAAAATAAAGAACACTGGTTGAAAAATCAGTTCTGGTGATCTGGGGAAAAATAAATGAGATGTGTAAAACACTGATTGATTAATCCAAACTGATCAATAAAAAACAGTGATTAAAATTCTTCAAAACATTGATTGAAAACCCTAGGAGAAGAATCGACGGGAAGGAAGAACTTGAGAGAGAGAGAGATATAGAGCTTAAGATTTTCTGAAGTGATGGTGCTCACCTTGGTAGATGATGGTGCTCACTTTCCTCGTTGGACGAATCTGAGATTGAATCACCGAGCTGAAGAAGGTTGAACTTCGAAATCACCGTCAGTCGATCAACAGATCTTCAATCGATCGATCTGATCTAAGAATGATAAAGTAGATAAAACCTAGCATACCTGAATCGAATGATTCCATCAGTAAGTATCATCTTCAATCGAACTTGAATGTGAGAAGATAGAGATAAGACTAATCAACACTTACCATGAAGAAAGACCTGCGAACTCGAACACGAACTCGAGATGGCACATTATGATCTGCGAATCAATGATCTACGAATACTTCAATCGAATAAACGAAGAGGTGAATTGAATACTTAAAAGAAGGGTTGCAGATTAATCGATTACTAAATGAAGGGGTTTGAATCGAGAGAAACAAAAGGGTTTGAAGCAAGAGAGAGTGAAATCAAGGGTATAGTGAGAGCGAGAGAGAGAATAGGCTATTTAAGTCTACACTAAAAAAAAAAAAGCGGAAAAACATTTGAAGGCGTTTTTGAAAGTTAAAACGGTGTCGTGTCAGTCAATAAGAATGTGACGTTTAAAAAAACGCCGTAAAATATTAGAATCAAAGGCGTGTTTTTAAATGCTGTCAAATAAACGCCGTTACATCCCACTTTTCTTGTAGTGTTGGCTGTTGATAGTGTTATTTTTGTTACACTCTTAGTGATAATTGTTGGACAATTTTCACTATATTCGAAAATTGGATTAAAGAGAGAGAGACTGTTTGATTATAAAAATCAAAACAGTATATACAATAAAATAAAACAGTAGATTCTTGTTTTATTACAAAAGCAAAATTAGAATCTTAAAATGGAAAAAATAATAAAACAAAAAGAGTAAATTAATTACTTACCTTATTATTTTTTGGAACAAATTTTGATCAAGTCCAGTGTTTAACACTGTGTCCTTAAGACAGATTTGTCCTCTATAGAGTGCTCACAGAATTTGGACGTCTATCTCCCAAGATGAAATGATCTTCAACAAACAGTAGCAGTACTATAAACTGTTTACATAACCAACACACTTTGTGTTTATACACTTTCTAACAGAAAATTAAATGCAGCAGAATACAGAGAGCAATGACAGCAACAAGAACGAAAAATTAAGTGAATATCCAAATGAGGGTCTGTCTATTTATAGATGAATTGATGGCTTTTCATATTTGAATTAAATAGGTGCAAACCTGTTTGAACAGGTATAGTACCTGTTCGGTTTAGAATGAACAGGTAAGGAACCTGTTAGGTTTAAATTTTGAACAAATATTGAATTTGTTCGGTTTAATTGGGCAAATATGGACCTGTTTGAGTGAAGGAATAATCTGGACATTATTTGGAATTGATTTCAAAATTTAAATTCAAAAAAGCTAAAAAATTAATTTTAGAAAAATTAAAGTCCAAAATGTTTTTGGCCTAAAAAGATAAGCATTGGGCCGGACAAGCCCAGCCCAGCCTCGCACCACGCATTCGTGCCCAAGCCCAGCCTAGTCCAGCCCACCCGACCGATCGGACGGATGGTGACGGCACGCACATGTGTGTTTATTTTGGGTCCAATGGGTCTAGCCCACTTTGCCCATAACCTCCTCCTCTACAAAACTTGCGTGCCCTTTGGAGCCTACCTTTCAAACCCAAGCCTTATAAACCCACTCAAAGTTTGCCTACCAAACCAACATGGGACAAACCTTAACTCAAACCTTAATGGAAATTTCATCAAAAACACCATTTCTATGGAACTCATTTTGGCTTCAATTTCCCATTCACCCGAAAATTGTTTTGAGCAATCAAATATACTACGTGAATTACAAAGTGGCATAGGATGCGTTACCACTTAGACCGCCAACTTTGGCATATGGGACCCACCTAAAATTTAGACAAAAGTTTAGGAATTTTTTTTTTCCTAAAACCATTTCTAACAATCCCCTACATGAATGGAATTTGATGACAACATGTAGAAACCCCATTTTTGACCGTCCTCAAGACTTGGACGTCATCACTTATGCACTCGATGATTGTGACTATTGGTGCTTGTTTAGTGTCCGAAACCCTCGGTGGAATGCCCTGCCTTTGAGCCTTCAAACCCTATCCATTCTGTGCCCTGTTTTGGACCAAAACTTTCTAGTCTGCCGGCCACCAATGAATTTTGAGCAGTGTGCTTGTGAAGAAGGGCAGAGTTGATCTGGTGAAGGAAAAAGTGTAAGAGTGGTGCAACGAAGGCATACAATAGCAGACAGTAGATGTTCTTCGGGTGGAAACTAAGCATGCATGAGCCTCTCTCGCTTCCCGGGACTCGTTAATTCGTTTAATTAATAGTTAATTAGCTTAATTAGTTGTAACTATTCAATTAGTTGTAGTTAATTAGTTTGTGATGTAATATTTAATTAGCTTAGAGTTAGTTAATTATTTATTCAGTTTTGTAATAATTAGTTAAGTAGTTTAGTTATTTATTCGGTTTGTAATAATTAGCTTAATTAGCTTAGCTTTAATTAGTTGCTAGTTAGCTTTTATTTATTCAGACTCTCCTTTGTGAGAGCATAATGTAATAATGTGTATGTCTTCCAACCTCACGTCTCTCTCCCTTTTATTTATTCGCTTATGATGGTTAGATAAGGGGTATCACGTTTCAATTAGCATATCGCATGTTTGCATCCATTCATTTGTTTTGCATGCACCGAGGCTCGGTTTATCATTCTAACTGCATTATCATTTCAATACTTCTTTGAATACGTGCTTAGACCGTATGTTATTAAATTGATTCACTTGCCACGTAAGTAGCTGAGCCTATTAGTTGCATATCGCATGTATTGCATTAGACATTTGGCATAGTTAGGAACATGCATTTTTCTAACTAGTTTCTTTTCTTGGCTTGGAGTACTATGTGAGTTTTTAGTGCTTTAGCATACTTGCATGATTGTGAGTGACTGCCATGACTAGCAAGCTTGCCATGAGGCTAAATGCTTAATTGATAAACTATTTTGAATGCCTGTGGATGAAGGCTTGTTGCTTGAATTGGAATGATTCAATAAATATACATTTTAAACCCACTATGTCTAGTGGAAAATTCAAACTTTTAAGCCCACTTTGTTTAGTGGCAAAATCAAGCCCTTTTCGAAAAACAAATCATGAAATTGAATTGTTCCAATTCGGGCAAACTAGTGTATACTTGTGTGTGTATGTGCGCATCACATAGTAATGCTAGCCTAATAAACTGGAACAAGAGCATATAGTGTACATAAAAATCATATCATGATTAGTAGAGGCCGATCTTTGATCGGGCGAGTAGGGGTGCTCAATTCATGACCTTCCCTTCTTGTACCTAAGTTCTTGAGCCGAGG